AAGAAAATAATATGAATATACGAAGATCTTTTCCTGACATAAATTTTTTAATGAGATTTATATGGTCACTGTATAAGTGCAGATTGAAGCAATTGTTCAAGATGCGGCAGCTCAGGGATTTATATCGACCATTGATGCACTGAACATACGGCTCGAAAATCAGGTTTTCTTACTTCCTAATGATAAATGGTGGATGTGATTCTGGATTTAAAAAATCTGTATAAACTTCGTAAATTTGCTTGTTGTTAGATCAGAGTTGTAATCGTAATTACTTTGCTTCGGTCAACAGTTTCTAGCTGGAACAGAATCCCAAACTCAGGGAGGTTCAACACATATTCCTGCAGCGTTTAGGAATTTTTCAATGTCTCAAAAGGAGAGAACCCTTGAGGAACTTGCGAGGGACCACTGGCTTTCTCTAACAGATGGTAAGGTAGGACTAGGAGTGCGTTCATTCCTTGATCTCAGAAGTTGGTTTCGCAGTAATGAGGTTCCTCCATGTGAAGTTTGCAATGAAGCTGCTGTGAAGGTCTATTCTTCTCTTTAACTCCATGTTCACTATAGCACGAATTTTGCCTTTCAAATTGGATAACTTTTATTGCCATTTTAGCTGTAAACTCACATGGTTTTCCTATATACTGTACTTTGGTTTGATAATGTCACTGCAAACATCCATTCCCTGTCAAAGAAAGATGTTTATGTGTCTATGATAAACTATATGTCTGCTAGATCATCCTACTGATGGTGGTATGATTACTTGACCAGGCTGAGCTTTGCAAAAATGAAGGCTGTAATGTTCGTATCCATATGTACTGTCTGAGAATGAAGTTCTCCAAAAGCAGGGTATTCTTCTCTCCTAGTGTAACTTTCCATAAATTTCCCATTTGTCACTCAATGACTGAATCTTGCCATTTTATTTTTAGCATCAACGAATTGAATTATATATATGTTTTCCAATCTTTTGATGTTGAATCCTCTACCATAATAGTTGCATTCCTATTAGTGTCCATGATACAAAGTTTAATCCTAGACTTAGAAACAGAAGAATGTGAACCCCCTCTTCGTCAAAAGAAATGAGATTATTCTGGATATACACATTAAAGATACTATTAACTAAACTTGCCCGACGTAAAGGCAATCAAGAAAGCCACATAATTGAACATATTTATAACCTACATAAAAGTGAGCTAATCCAAGTATCCAACAAATCATGTTATTTCAAAGGGAAAACACTGCAAAATTGATGATCAACACTCATCTATGCAGGCGATTGATGAACTAAATTCTTGTTGAAACCATAATTTGCAGGCTGAAAAAGTTTGTCCCGGGTGTGGGACAAGATGGCATTATAACATTGCAAAAGTAGAAGCTCTGGATGAAGAAGAGGATGCATCTGCTCCTCCTGAGAGTCAGCTGCCTCGTGAACCCTCAACGAGAAAAAGGCCAAGGACCCGTGCAGTTATTGACTCTGATACTCTTGAGCCTGGATCATCTCAAAGTACAAGGCTGACTCGACGTTCTGTCCGTCTGAAGAGTTCAGGTTAACAAATCTGGTTTGCTAGTTTTGGTGCTCATGTACATCTTAGTATATGAAAATGGATATATTTTTGCACCCTATGAAACCAAATTCTAACTTATGAATGTAGATTATAAGAGTATCCAGATTAGTATCTTAATCATGGGTTGTTTTTTTGTTTATATCCATTAGTTTGTAAGGGTAGATCAAACGATTGTTCATGTACCTTCATCCTTGGAGGCTCAAGTAAATGCCTGTTTGCTTATGTTTTCTCATATGAATCTTTTGTCTCTAGCTATTGAGGATCCCATTTTCATACATGATAAAAAATCATTGAGGTACTTGCGCGATGATTGAAAGAATTTTTGTTTTGCGCAATCATCGCGCAAGAACCTCAATGTAAATGTCCATAACAAAAAAATAATCTTCAGTTATATAGCTCTTTTATGAGTTAATTGTCAAAACATGTAACTATTACTTCCTTTGCGAGTTTCATATCCTAACTATCACTTGTTCTTTTTTTTTCTAGCTGAACCATCACCGTCTATGTATTAAAAACACACCTTGAAGTTAATTAAACCAACAAATGATGACAATTTAGGTAGAATAAAAAAGAAGTGAACATCTCATAGTTGGGGTGTTAAACTCTCAAAGCCATCCACAAATGGCACTCTTTTTCAACAAATCCTACAATATTTTCATACCAACTTCATCATTGAATCCAAAAGATTACAAAGGGGTAACAACAGAAATATACTAAACACACATAAATCAATTACAAAACTAAGATATACATATTTAAGAACTAGCAAAAATAAAGGCTCAACACTAGAGGTTTACAACACCAAGTGGTTTCCTCGTCTCGTTCATTTCCAGGTTAAAATCATTCAGATAGGCCACACTCTTCGAGAATTGATGATATAGTGGTAAGTTCTGAAGCTAAGGCATAAGAAGATCATGAAGCAACTCACTCGAAGGTTCAAATCAATTAAAACACTTGACTTGGCAATACAACTCTAGCCAAGAAAATATATAATTACAAATGCATAGCATTTCACTCTCTAACTTCTGAGCATGGTGTTGCATTTCGCGATGAAAAAACAATTTTGTTCAAAGAAAAATAAGTTAGAGAAATCAACACAATGCTCAAACAATAAAGTGAAAAGTTATGCACTTATAATGAAGCATTGTCTTGGCAATAGTTGTATTACCAAATAAAAGTGGTCAATTGATTTGAACATTCAACTAGGTTGCTTCATAAGCTTTTTTTGCCTCATCTTCCGAACCACTATATCATCAATTTCCGAAGACTGATCATTGTGATATAAGAAAGCAGCTTGTCTTACACATGCCCTGGTCGTACAAATAATGTCTTACTGCCAGCACAATCTGGTAAACGTTTTAGGGAGAGGCATAGCGCCAATTCCTTCAAATGAGCAATAAGCTTTTATCTTTCGATTCCATTCAGCAACGTCATACTTTTTTGGGCACTTGCAGGAGTCTTCAATAGATTGGCTCCGAGATTCTCAATATGGAAAAGACCTAATAAATATTTTCAAATAAATCAAAAGCTTCACTCCAATATGGAAAGTAACAGGCAAGGCAAGTAAAGCACTGGAAACAGAGATCAATGACATTTAGTCAAGTACCAATTCAGAAATTATTTGTAAGAATATACACAAACTTTGGAGAACATAACATAATGATTGAACTTATCTAGTACGGAATAATGATAATATTAATAACGACAATTTTAGGGGTCGTTTGGTGTGAGGGATAAAAATAAATAGTGATGAGATTATTTTTTTGTATCTTGTTTGGTTGCCATGTTTGGGATAACTTATCCCACCATTTATAGCATAGTGATGGGATAAGTTATCCCAGGATAGCTAACCCCAGGATAACTTGTTCCCAACCAAACGACCCCTTAGTCTATTAAGCTTATAATGGTTGTTATCAGTTCCCTACCAAAATCATACCATTTATAGTAACAAAGCCCAATAGAAATAGTGGCACAAACAGACTTCTAAAAATCTTTTTATCTCAGTATATAGTCTTATCTTTAATCTTGAACATTGCTTGCCTGATATAAAATACTCACTCTGTTTCAATTTGTTTTTCCAATTTTGACTTGACATAGAGTTTAAGCGAAGACACTTCAGAATCTTATGGTCATAAGAAAGATATATCAAATGCCAAAAATACCTTTTAATTGTGTGATTTTAAACATGTCATGTGAAAAGTTGGAACAGAATAGTTGTCAAAAAGGAAAGAGATACTTTTTTTGAACCGAACTAAAAAGGAACGTAGGACAGACAAATTGATTCAGAAGGAGTATAGTTTTTAGGGTCCTTAAATTGAAAAAGACTTGTTGGTCTTTTTAAAATGGGCAAATAGCAGTTTTAGTCCTTATATTATAAGTTTATTCCAATTTTGGTCCTTGTATAATTCAACTAAGCATAATTAGCCTTCAATTAATATAAACATGCGATTCTGATTCTTCAAACTAATTTAAGTTAAAATTTTAATGATTCCATTAAGTTTTAACTTTTTCGTTAGTTTGAAGGATTAAAATTGCATGTTTATATTAATTGAAGATTAATTATACTTAGTTGGATTACCCAAGGATCAAAATTGAAATAAACCTACAACATAGGGACCAAAATTGCTATTTGCGCTTTTTCAATAGAAGAGGGACTCAAATTAGTGTTAAGAACACATATTTTGGAGGTCTCAATTTTCTTATTTACACAAAGCTCACTTAAGTCTTGAATGCCGAAAGGACAAAAAAGATGTGTTGGTATTTTTTAAAGGGCAAATAGCAATTTTAGTCCGTATATTATATGTTTATCCAGTTTTGGTCCTCGTATAATTCGACTAAGCATAATTAACCTTCAATTAATATAAATGTGTGATTATGATCATTCAAACTAACTTAAGTTAAAAACTTAATGATTCCATTAAGTTTTAACTTTTTCGTTGGTTTGAAGGATTAAAATCACATATTTATATTAATTGAAGGTTAATTATGCTTAGTTGAATTACACAAGGATCCAAATTGGAATAAACATACAACATAGGGGCCAAAATTGTTATTCGCCCTTTTTAAATAGAAAAAGTACTCAAATTAGTGTTAAGAACACATATTTTGGAGGTCTTAATTTTCTTATTTACACAGAGCTCCCTCAAGTCTTGAATGTCGAAAGGACACTTTAACAAACTTAGTGACAATTAATGGTTTGGATTGGGTTATAGTTACTAAAAACTTGTAGATATGTATAAGAACTCCTAATATTACAAAAGTTGCACTACCACGTTTAAATCATTTCAAATTTTCATCTCTTATCTTCCTTCTAATTTTCTTACAAGTACAATATTTTCTTTCTTGGTCTTGTTTTTTTAATTTTCTACTACTTAGAAATGTGTCAGAAATATATGAAGAAGAGTGGATTTGGAAATTTACTTTGTGACTCACAAAATTAACACAAGTTGTGTGAGGCTTCTTTTTATTTCACAAGTTGGTGGACCCAAAGAGGAAGATTTGGGTCGCTCTGCTTTGTGAAACAAAAAGAAACCTCACACAACTTACATTAGTTGTGTGAGACACAAAACAAAGTTTATCATGTAATTTGATGAATAAAAGTTTCTCACAAACAACCAAAACATCTCTCAAGATAATTAAACATCTCCATAATGTTTCAAACATAAATTCTTCGAACATTCTTACTCATGATGTTGAGACATTATGTTTCAAACATTTGGAAGCAATGACATCTTTTCGAGAGATGTTTAAACATATCTTGGGTTGTTTGTGCAAAACAATAGCTTGAAAGAAGTAAAAAGCAATTAATAATTTGAAAATGGTAATGAATCTTCTATAATTTGCAGAGTTTTAATATTAACCCACAAGTTCTAATTGTATAAGTTATAGTAGGCAAAGTAGGAGACTAAAGAACAGTGCAAAAGAATTCCCAAATATGCCATAGGTGCAAAAATAAAGTATCGGAGAGATTAAGAATTTTGACACAGATAAGCACAAAAATCAGACAACATATAGCAATTCAGAAGTCTTAAATAATACTGATAAAATGAGTATCGAACATAAAAAAAGTTGCGACTATAATGAGTTACAAAAACAAAATAACATACACTCACACTTTCAAGAACTCAAATATATCATTTAACTTCCAATTCATGTATTTCTTATTTGTTCAAGCTATAATCTTACTGAGATTTGTACAAATTCAGGACACAACTCATTAACAAGTAAAGCAAACTCCATTGAAAATATTGAAACTTTGTGAATTAGAAAATGCAAAAAGTTTGTACAAATTTAGGACACAACTCATTAACAAGTAAAGCAAATTAAACTAAAAAGATTGAACCTTTTGTGAAATAGAAATGCAAAGAGTTGGTACAAATTTAGGACTCAACTCATTAACAAGAATTCCGATTCCGCCTCCTATAACAACAACAAAAACAACATACCCAATGAACTCACACTCCAGTCTAAAGAGTACAAAGTCTACGCAGACCTTACTCCTATTTCCACACTCACCTCAAGTAGTTATAAAAAGGGAAACCGCCCGTGAAGAAAACCCAGCCACTAATAAGGATAGGCAAAACCTACTAGTTTTAGTTCAAATTCCATATTAGTGTTGAAAAAAATTCATTCCATATATATAAATAATTTATTCAGAACCAAATAACAAAACAAAAACTCATAGTCCAAATGCATGAACTAAAAATCCCAATTCCGCCTCAGGTAACAACAACAACATATCCAATAGAAACACACAAAGGGATCCAATGTGTAAAAAGAATACACAAATCTTACACGTACCTCCAAACTAAGCTCAAGTACACCAAATCAAATCAAATAGTTATGAAAAGAAAAAACGACAGTCCAAACTAAGCTCAAGTACATCAAATCAATCAAAACGACAGTAAAGAAAACATGACAACTAATAAAACTTTGTTAATTAGAAAAATGTAAAAGAGTTCATACCAGCATTAGATGAATACAGATCTGATCCACGAAAATCATTCTTAGCTATGTTTCTTCCATCTGGGTATCATCGAAAATTCAAAATCAGTAATTTTTCAGTCTAAAGGGCTATAGATGAAACCGCCGCCACTGGCACAAACATCGATGACGGCGGAATGGGTGGCTAAGATGCCGGCGCCGGCGGCGAGAACACCGATGACGGCGGCTGAAGGAGAATTCGCCACCTCACTAACTAGGACCCCCTAGAAGGATCGTATAGCTTTTATAACCTTTTGGGTGAAGTTTCCTATGTTAGGTTTTTAATTTATCAGTTACGTCAAGTATTTCAATAAAATAAATATTGTATTTAAATGATTTTAGATATTTTTTATAGATGAATATATACTCCCTCTGTCCCAATTTATATGACTTACTTTCCTTTTTAGTCAGTCCCAAAAAGAATGACACATTTCTATTTTAAGTGTGTATAAATTCATATTTGATTTGTGAATGAACTAACATGTAACAAAAAAAGTACATAAAGGTAAGACATATTTCATTCTCAAGTGTTTGTTCTTCCATTTGTTTTATTTTGTCTTTATAAATTCATACTCCCTCTGTCCCAATTTATATGACTTACTTTCCTTTTTAGTCAGTCCCAAAAAGAATGACACATTTCTATTTTAAGTAACAATTTACCTATAAAATGTCTTTTTTACCCTTAATGAAATGATTCACAACCACACAAATTTCTATCATTCATTTTGGACCACAAGTTTTAAAAGTCTTTCCATTTTTCTTAAAGTTTGTGCCAAATCAAAGTACATCATATAAAATGGGACGGAGGGAGTATATTTTTTCAAATAAACTGTTAGTGAAATCAATTTGAGCCATAAAAATAATCTAGATAAAATTACGTATGATAGTTATTCCTTTCTTTAATTCTGGGTATAATAATTGTTTAGTGTATCGAATTGCACGTAAATAATTTGTTTCACTATTTGGTCATTTGATACCCTAGTTATTATGGAATACATCGTTGTTTTGAATAGAGTATCACGTAATTGTGGTAGAAGATGACTATTGGTTCTTGTAACCAATATGACCATTAGTTTCTTGTAACTCATATGACAATTTGTTTCTTGTAACTCACGTAACATCTATCACATTTATCTGTCCACATTACTACCCCTCATTCTACCTATTGATTATATGGAAGACTATTTCACCTATAAATAATGATGTTTCTTCCTTTGTGATGTATCTCAAAAAGATGAGAAGTGTGAAATAATATTGTAGTGTGTAGTAGTGAAAGAGAGAGTTGAGACAAAGAAAATATTATAAGTTTTCAACTATATTCATCACTATATACAAGAGAGTGTTTATATATATATGTTGAAGGAAAGTGTTCTTATGTGGAGTTTTGGACTCTTCAACTAATCTGGAGTTGTTTGAGTTGTACACTGTTGTTGGGCTATTGTATCCTGGAGAGGACAAGTCAAGAGTTATACTGCTGGATCGGTGTAGATTATGCCGCAGTGGGCTTGAATCTCCTTAAAGAGAGCGAGATATCCGCGCCTCAATCTAAAAATTTGTTTATTCATTTTTTGTCATTTTATTTTCAACTGTAACATTTGTATCTATGGTATAATACACCAACATAAAGTTATGATCTCATGGAATCAACTATGTTTGACGAGAACATCTAGAGGCTAAATACTCTACACATTCAAAAGTAAAATAAGATGGCAATATGCAAAATGTTGTGGAATTCATGTAAAAAAAATAAGTTATGAATTAAATGGGTGCATATCTATTATATCAAAGAAAAACATATTTGGGACTATAGGCCTAACTAGGCCTCATGGATGCTTAAAAAGATATTTTTAAAGCAACAGTAACAGTGGAAGTTAACTAAGGTCCTATTATCCCTGAGCTTAACTAAGGCCTAAGTATCCCCTAGACTATGTTTAAGGCTTAAGTATCTCCTAGACTAAGATCGAAATTTCAGAGACACACCTAAACTTAACTAAGGTCCTATTATCCCTGAGCTTAACTAAGGCCTAAGTATCCCCTAGACTATGTTTAAGGCTTAAGTATCTCCTAGACTAAGATCGAAATTTCAGAGACACACCTAAACTTAACTAAGGTCCTATTACCTCATGAACTCATTTTTTTCGTATTTTTGTGCTGACATGACATCTAAATATCTCTCACGCGTCTCAATTGAGTGGAGTTATGGAGTGTGCCACGTAAATCAAAAGGTGTACAAAATTACAAAAAAAATTGGGTTCAGGGGGTAATAGGACCTTAGTTAAGTTAATGTGTGTTTCTGAAATTTCGATCATAGTCTAGAGGGGTACTTGTACCTTTTCCCTTGATTTAACCTTATCCGCTAATTTAACTTTTAATATAATATATCTACTACATGTATGTTGTTATATTTTTAATAATTTTATATTACATTTTTTAAATTACATTTGATTATCATAAGAGAATTACCGATTACGTTTATCTATAACTTAAATTTTATGATTACGCTTTAAATTCTACCTTTCCCCCCTCCAAACCTAACCCTAATACAAAATACTTAATGCATGTTAGTTCTGATATTTAGTAAGTTTATATTTCACTAGTAAAATTATATTCACCTTCTGTGTTAATATAGTTTATAATAAAATTATATTTAAATGTAATTTAGATCTAAAAATTATACATATAACTTCTATCAACGTCTTTTTTGTATTTAACCCTCTTTATTCTTACTCTAATCCTAACATGATATACTTTTTATGGAACTATTTTGTTAAATTTGCAATTCAAAACTGTTATTTTATCTTTGATTTTTCTCTATCCCAATAAAATTATGTTCGTCTCTCTACATAAAATTTTAAATTATGTATGCTACCCTTATCAACACCTTTTTAACTTATAAGAATAAATACACAGAAAGTTTATATGGACATATTCACATTTTTATCGGTCCGTGACAAATAAATATTAGTAATGTGTCATAAAAAAAGAACAAGCTTGAGTCATCGGTGATCTCTTAAAATTGTCCGCATAATTCACTTAGACACCTGAATCGAGGCTTGTACCTATTGAACACTTCTACCCCTTCAAATCTGAACCATTTAAATAATATTTTTTTACAATAAGCTAAAAGTATAAAGTGTGTGAAATATCTTATGATAATATGGCAATTTGACAAATTAAATAATGACTAGTATTTTTGAGTCCAAAAAATTACTTTAAATTGTATTATAAAGTTAAAGAAAAATTTTAAAAATAAAATATCTTGTAACTTACCCATATCTGCTATTTCATCGTATCCCAAAACTCTTCTTCCTCTAAGGTGACCCACTTCCAACACGGCACCCCCCCCCCCCCCCCATACACAATAAAT